CTGCTGGCATCAAGCAAGTGTTGGTTTATGCCATAGCACAGCCCACACCTGCTGACTTCTAGACTCAGAACAGTGCAGAGCTGTAGAGAGGTCTCTTGCAGAATCTGCCTCGTTGACCAAAGGTGTGGTGGATGGGGTGGGGAGAAGGCTTCTGCCCTTTATGTAGGCAGCCTGGCCGCACAAACCCCATAGGCCTGCTTTGCGGCTCACCCACTCACCCGAAAACCAGCTGGCTCAGTTCCGCTTCCAGACAAACCCCAAGGGGCTGGTGACGCTCTGGAGGTTCAAAGCCAGCTGAATTCACAGCTGAGTAACTCCTGGCTACACGGATTTCTAGTTGAAAATGGACCCGTTGTGAACTGGGGAGTGGATATGAGAAGAGACCTGAGTTCAGATTGCAAAATCTACATATAAAGCCAGCTATAACCTATAACCAGAGCCTTTCAGAGGAGGGGATGTGGGGACAGGAAGATCTCTAGGGCTTGCTAGCCACTAGCCTAGATGAAAAACAGTGCACTCCAGGTTCAGTGAGAGAATTAGTCTCAAGGGAATAATGTGGGGAGTGATAGAGAATACATAATGCCCTCCTCTAGTCTCACAGGCATATATACCTCACATACGTGCACACACACACACACACACACACACACACACACACACACTGACTTGTTCATGTACTAAATCTCACTCTGAGAAATGCAGAGTTTGGGCTTAAACTCACTATGTAGTCGAAGGTGACCTTCAACTCCCGACCCTCCAACGTCTAGCTCTCCAGTGCCAGGTTATGTGACAGAGTTGCCCCTCTAGACACAGTTTGTGTGCTGCTGGGGCTCAAACATAGGCTTTCATACTTGCTAGGCAAGCATTACCCATGGCGCCGCACACAGCCCCTGGGCCTGCTCCTGTCAGGATAGAGCTGAGCTGTGACAATGAAGCTTGGATTTGAGGGGAGGGGTTAAGGTGTGATGGGGCGGAATCCATTACCTTGAAGCCCTTAAGAGCACTGTCCCTGGTTTGGTTCAGGCCCCATAAGTAGTGGCAAAGTCCCTGAATGCAGCTGAGACTTCTCTTGCCCTGTGTTAAATTATCCACTCCCTCAAACCAGGCTTTCGATTTTTTTTATTAGTTCCTGCATCTTTGGTGTGTGTGTGTCTGTGCGCTGGTGTACGTGTGTTATACATATGTGTCTGTGTTCAGGTGTGTGTGTTAGACACATGAGTATGTGTGCAAGTATGTGTGTTACACATATGTTTCTGTGTGTAGGTGTGTGTGTTAGACACATGAGTATGTGTGCAAGTGTGTGTTGCACATATGTGCCTATATGCAGGTGTGTGTTATACATATATGCTTGTGTGCATGTGTTTTACATATGTGTTTGTGTGCAGGTACTCCACACATACATGTACATGTGGATCAGGCATCTTTCCCTTTCACTCTCCACCTTATCTTGTCTAGTTAGGTTCTCTCACTGAACCAGAACTCACCAATACAGCCAGCCAGAGAGCCCCCTGGGGTGCTCCTGCTTTCTGACCTCAACGCTGAGGTGACAAGCAGGTCTTACTGGTGCATCTGGCTCTTCAGTGATCCTGAAGGCTCAGCTCAGGTCCTTGTGCTTGTCCACCGAACTGTCTGCCCAGTCCTGCTAGTTTTCTGTCAGCAGAGGTATCTACTCTTTTCTCCTGAAACCCAGAAGGAGGGTGCAGCCTTTAACCAGGCCCACATTCTCTGGGTACCGTAAACTGGCCAACTTCTCCTTTTTGTGCCCAGGCCTGATTTCCCTGGGCATTTGAGTTGACAAATCTAATTTACACGAAACATTCTGTATTAACACTCACCCTGAGTCACAGCAGGGCAGGAACTGAGAGCCTGATTATTGTTGGCTGGCTTGTAGAAACTTCCCTGGTACGGAACAAAGAAGTACACTTGACTGAAAAATCTGAGGCGTGTACCCAAAGGACTCTACATCCTACTGCAGAGACACTGGCTCATCCATGTTCATTGCTGCTCTTTTCACAATAGCCAGGAAATGGAACCAACCGAGATGTTCATCAACAGATGAAGAGCTAATGAAAATGTGGTCTGTGGACATGATAAAATTTTATTTAGCCATTAAACATGAAATTTGCATGAAGATGGATGGAATTGGGGGGGAATAATTGAGGTAGCCTAGGCCAAGAAAGACAAACACTTCATGTTCTTTCTCGTAGGCAGAGCCTGGCTTCTCCTTTTTATATATGCATGTTGATGTGGGAGTGAGTGTGTGTGGTGTCAGAAGACTAGAAGGGGTCACAAGAGGCCAGGAGAAAGAGCCCTAAGGGAGAAGGCTGTGGAGAGTAGCAGACACTCGTGATATGAAAATGGAAGAGGAGAGAGGGTACAAAAGGGTCGGAAGTGCAGGAAGACGGCAGCGGAGCTTGTATTGGGATAGCAAGCAAAACTGAGTAGTGTGTGTGTGTGTGTATACATACATATATATATATATATATACATACGCAACATGAGGAAATCTGTTACTAATTTAAGAAAGAAACTGGACTGGAAAGATGGCTCAGTTGGTAAAGTGCTTTCCTTGCAAGCATGGGTACATGAATTCAATCCCCAGACCCTACACTTGTAATTGCAGTGTTGTGAAGACAGAGAAAGGTGGATCCCTGGGGCTCAACAGTTAACCATTCTAACTGAATTGGTGAGCTCTAGGACAGTGAGAGACCATTACTCAACAGAGAGGGACAGCCTTTCTGAGGACAACACCAGTGCTTGTCCTCTGACCTCCACACACACGCACTCATGCACACCCCACCCCCATGCATTAAAAATAAACATTTTTCTATGCCCTGGTAGTGTTAATTGTCCCTGTGCGCTGCTCAGGCAAACAGCAGTCTTCGCTTTGCAGCTCAAACACTCCTTGTTAACTTTTCATGACGCTAAATAACTTAAAAATAAAACCAACCATGTGCAGGATAGTCACAAAGCAATATAATTCATAAACTTTCAGATTCACCCCAGAACTACTAAAAGACCACAGCAGCCTTGGGTTCTTCAAGCACAGGACCCGTTTTGGACATAACCCTGTGGCCCTTCTCCCTCTAAACCTGATGTGGGGTGGATCTTTAGACTCTGGTGGAGTGAGGCAGGATTAAAATCACTGAGCTTCTTCACCTCACCTAAGATCATTGGCACCATGGGGTAATGAGTGATTGCCCACAGCTAAAAGAGCTTCTGCTATTGAGAGAAAGGCAAGGAGTATTTCTACAGAGGTCTGTCAGCAAAGCCATCCATCCCATGCCATTATGCCTGCTGGAAATTAATCTTTAATATCTTAATAAATGAAAGTGTCAGCTAGCACAGTGCTAAAAAGCTCTACCCAGTGCTAGTTCTTCAAGCTCGGGTGTATTTATAGCCTCTGAAAACTCAGGTGTTACCTACCCGAAGTGTAACATGCATAATCATCCTTGGTGTCCTCTATGGTAAGCAGATTCATACTCTAGCAGAATGGGTCATGTGACATAAAGCTTGATGGGGAGGAGGTCAGACAGGCCTAAGACCTGCAGCAGCTGGGCAGACAGTGGGAGACAACTCAGTCCTTAGAAGGGAGGGACCCAAGCATGGAAGCGGTCATAGTGTTTTCACGAGCTAACTGCACCCCTAAAAGTGACTGAGTACCCTAAGTAGGTCCCTTCCTAGTATGGTTTCTGCTTTTCCTTCCTGAGACATCACAGGAGCAGGTTCAGGGCAATGTTGATGATAAAGAACAGTTGAAGTGCTGATGGACTATGAAAGAGATGGCTTCAAGAGAGGGAAGAAACACCAGCAGCCACTTGGATGCCTCTACTAAATGTAGTACAATATCCCTGTAAGTTTTCGTTAACTCTCTGTGTGTGTCCGTCTGTTTGTCTACCTTTCTCTGTCTCTCTGTCTCTGTTTCTTTTTCTCGCTCTCTCTCTCTCTCTCTCTCTCTCTCTCTCTCTCTCTCACACACACACACACACACACAGAGAGAGAGAGAGAGAGAGAGAGAGAGAGAGAGAGAGAGAGAGGAGAATTTCCCTCAAGATGACACAGCATCTATAAGAAACAGACTATGGACAGTTATATGGATATTTTCTCCAAATTGAAACATTCCCTCCTGAAGCAAGGCTCTTAAGACTCGGGAAGTAAAAGAAACTTACAAGGTACAGAAAGCCAACAAAACTCACAAGTCTCAGGAAGCTCCTGAAATTTACAAGACTCACAAGGTCCTCCTTCCAAAGTTATACAAGCATTACATAAGCACAGGTGCAATATGTCATCCAAAAGATTAATGCAGTCTCTCTGATCATTCTGACCTTTGTAAAATGGTATGCTGTGGTCAAGCTGAAATCCAAACACATCTGACAAGTCAATGTTTCTTGTTTACATTGTCATGAACCCAAATGTAAAAAATTATAAAAGCAGCATCTTTATCACCTAGTAACCAAATCAGTTGCCTTCTATGAAAGCTGCCCAATAGGAAGCTACAAAAATATCCAGAGAGAATAGGGGAAGAAAGAATTAAAGTAATCATCAGAGGACAAAACAGTGAGAAACATCCCTGTCAGAAATTATTTCTTCTAGTTTATATAGTTAGACATCAGTCATGCTAGGAAACCTATGGAAATAGATTTATATCTGCATTGAGGTGCAAAATAAAAAAAAGAAATGCTTCTTATTATGGTAATCATTGGATTCAGACAGCAGGCTGGATCACAGCTGCACCTATACAATTCTTTTTGTATGAAAAGAAAGACATCTTGCTTTAAAACTAGTCAAAAAGCCAGCAGGACACAGAAGGCAGAACCAGCTCAACTATGTGGAGTCTCATCTGACCCGGAACTTTACTATGTGGTGTCATTCATGTCCCTGGAGTGAGTTCTTCTGGTCCCTAAATGGGCCTTCCTTCCCTTACACACCCGCTGCAGCAGACCTGTGTGACAATCAAGGTGGGAACTTCAAGGAAGAACGTTAGGAAAGAAGGACCTTACCACTTCGGGGAGCAGCCTTGTTGAAAGGTCGTGGATGGCTTTGACGACTATGCAGATAGATGACAGAAGAAAGATCACTCCCAAGATGACACAGGCTCTGTAAGAAAAAGAACATGGAGAGTTGTGTCAAAACATTTTCCCCTGGAGGGAGGCTAATTAATCCTCAGAAAGTATAGGACCCTTACAAGTCTTAGGAAGTCAACAAAACACAAAGGTCTCAGGAAACTCCTGAAACTTACAAGACTCACAAGGCCCATTCTTGAATGTTACATACATAACAGTAACAATTGCTGAGAAGAGGTGACTTTCTTCGGTAGAACTGCCTGAAAGTTGTAGAGGGAGCTCCAGGGAGGCAGCTTTTGTGACTTGTCACTGTACTGGGACAAGCTTTTCAATGATGCAGCTGCCTTTAGTCAACCTGTGCTCCTGTAAGTAGCCCCAATGAAGCTCATTGTTCACTAATCTACTTAGATGGAGTCATTTCTTTGATAAGTTGCCAATTCCTTATCTAGAATGGATTCCAGGGGGCTTGCTGAAAAGTTCGTGTAAACAAACCAGTGAGATTCAGGTTCAGTGAAAGATCCTGTCTCAAAAAGTGACAGAAGTAGATGCCTGAAATTGCTCTCTGGACTATACACACACACACACTCACACACACACACACACACACACACACACACACACACACAGAGAGAGAGAGAGAGAGAGAGACAGAGACAGAGACAGAGACAGAGACAGATATTGAGAGGAAACTATGTCCCTTAGATAATAATTGATATCTTCCATTTCCCAGTGTCTACAGTAGCACATAGCAGAGGCCCTGGGTGCATCTGTTGAGTGGATATGACGAACTAAGTAGTTAGCTAACCAAACCAATAACTAATCATTGCTAGTTTACCCACCTACGAGTTTCTCACCATTGAGTCTGAGGTAGCATTGTCAGCTTTCTAATGGATTTGAGGAGAGGAGGGGGACTCCTATCCTTCATCCCTGTACCATCAAACTATCCACATTATAAAGTAACTCTAAAGTGTAATGAAAGACGCTTGCCACCCATTTTGTTAAAGCTGGACCTCGCAAACTGCATCCTACCTTGCATATACACTTGTGGTATACACAAGAATTTGCTCAATTTTTTTTCTAAAATCTCATTTTTCTCTTCTTTGCAGTGTGTTGCAGACTTGAAAACCATAGCCCCTGCTTCCCAAAACTGTGTTAGGGCCTGTGTGTCAGGGCCCTGCTGCTTCTGCAGCCCAATGCAGCTATGAATAGCTCAGGCTGCAATGCTATTTTTTCACATTGTATTAATAATACATTGTGTTTACACAGCAGCTTTCTCCTCAGGCACTCAGAGTTCTGCACATCAGCTCCCAAATCCCCTGGAGGGCTCCCCAATCCAGGTGTTTGCTTTTCTGCAGTTTATGAATGGGGAGGGTGATGTGTGTTTCATTAACACAAGGAGACAAAGCCAGAGAGACCAGGTTCAGGAGCTTTGGCTCAAGGTCATGGAAGGCATTGAGTTCTACCTAGAAATAGAGCCTGAAGGACGGGGTAGAAGGTGCACTGGGGGAGCTGTCTGCTGCACAAGCCGGAGGACCTGAGTGTGGAGCTCCAGCACCCATAAAAAGAAAAGACAAGTTGATCTCAGGGGCACATTGGCCAACCAACGAGCTGAACTGGTGGGCTCTGGAGTCAGTGAGAGATCAAGGTTCAAGAACGTGTGCAGGGGCTGGAGAGCCTGCTCCACAGTAAGGAGCATTTACTGCCCTTCTGGGGTACCTGGGTTTGGCTCTAAGAACCTACATCCAGCTGTCCAGAGCCAACTGGAGCTTCAGCGCTGGGAATTCAATACCCTCTCTTGGCCTCTTGGCCTGCATACATGTGGCATACACACACACACACACACACACACACACACACACACACACACACATAGACACACACAGATTCTTTTTTAAAAAAAATTAATCATTAAAACAAATGCAAACAAAACCAAGTAGAAAGGAACTGAGAAAGAAGATACCTGATGTCAACATCTGGCCTCCAAATGCATAATCACATGTACATACACACAGGAACATGTACAAATGCATAATCACATGTACATACACACAGGAACATGTACAAATCACACACACACACACACAGAGACACTACAAGAAATAGAACCTGATTCAACTAATGACCTCCCAGTGGCCAGCCCACTCAACAAAGACACTGGGTATCATGTCACATGAACACTATGTCACATGAACACCACCTCTCTTAGTCTCCAGAACAAACACTTCAACGATTTAGGCTAGAAGCAAATAGAGAAAACGTGACTACTTCTCCATCAGGACCAAGTGAACTACTGGTCTGGTAGGCAGACCTCCACACACTTGCCTTCTCCTGCACAGGCGGGCCTAGCTAAGGGAAAGGGGTCCTGAGCAGCCAGGGTTCCAGAGAGAATACACATTCCTTTTCTCTCCTGCCTAAACCCTACATGGCTTCCTGATTTAGAGAAAACAAATGACCTTGACCCACTTCCCCTTCCTTGCAACCCCCAACCGATGGCTCAAACTGGGCTGAGATTCCCCATAGGAAGTGTGTGTGTGTGTGTGTGTGTGTGTGTGTGTTTAGTCAGGACCCACATCACCTGAGAATTTGCTAGAAGGAAACTGAGGGAATCTGCTGCAGCCCTGTTCCTAGGTTCTGCCTGCTGGGAACACACAGGAAAGTGGGGGGAGGCAGCTCTCCATCTCTCAGGGCAGGCTCTCTGTGACTACATGAGCTGATCCACCTATTAAGCGACAGGCCCCAGTAGAGAAGTATTTACTTACTGCGGGCCCACCTTTTGCCAAGAACCCTTCTGAGCACTAGAATGTGACACATAAGTCTAAGTTCCTTGTTCAAGATGTGGAGAAAGGAAACATTTAAATCACACAGAGTACTTCCAAGGGGTGGGCAAGCTGACTCTGAGCAAATCAAAATTTGAAGCTCAATTATGGGCCTCACAGGGACCGGAGAGGTGGCACAGTGGGGAAAGCGGTTTCCACCATGCACGCTTGAGGACCTGAGTGCAGATCCTGTGCACCTACATAAATGTACACAATTTCAATTTTAAAGAGCAGCAAGTGTATCCTAGAAAAGGCATTTCTGGGACGTATCAGAATTCTTTCATTCGTCTCGTTAACACTTCACCCCTGCCCCTTGGTGTCAGGAGTCATTCTCAGGGACAAGAGGAAGAGGTGTTTGGGGAAGAACCTTCCAGGCAGAAGGAAGACAGGACTTTAAGGTGGAAGTCTTCCTGACGTGATGGGGATACAGCCAGTCTATGAGAGGAGGGGGAAGGGACAGAGTTGGGATGAAGGATAAAGAGAGAGGTGGGGTTGGGGGGTTAGGGAGTGGACCCTCTGAGTTCTTTGAGCCATGTAGGGTGTGGAATCTATAGGATGGGAAGTCACAGGGGACCAGGGCTTGGAAATGACAGGCTGTGGCATGTTTTAAGCAGGACTGGGCTCTCTCTGGCAAAGCAGAAGCAGGGAGAGCAGCTAGGAGGCTGCTACAAATCCCAGGCCAGGAGAAGGTGGGACCAAGCAGGTTGGGATCAGAATGGTAAGACTTGAGGAGTGAGTCTGGAGAGTTCCCTGAAGGCGCCAGTGGACAGGTTCTGTTAAGTATGGTCCAAAGTTCACGGGAGTCAAGAATGATGCAGGACTTCGGACCCTGGAAAATGGGCCAATGGAGTTGCTCTTCTTTGAGATGGAGACCTCAGAAAGAGTGGGTGTTGACAGGGGAGTATCAAAAGGTCAATTTTTGACACACTAAGTTAGAGACTTCTCTCAGACATCCAAGTAGAGATATTTTATTGTATTTTTATTTTGAGACATGGTCGCATTTAGCCTAAGCTGTCCCTGAATCCCCATGTAACTAAGAATGGCCTTGAACTTCTGATTCTCCTGCAATGACAGCACTCCACCAAATGAGCCACGTTCTGAGAAGGGCAGTTAGGGGCAGGAGCTTAGATTGCCCAGGTGGGGACACGCTCAGGGAGTCCCCAGCACACAGACAGAGTTTAAGCCTTGGACACAGATCTGATTATGACAGATGTCCAGAGGTAAGAGTCCATGCTGGGTCCTAGCTGAGAAGCTGGGTAGAGAAGCGGGTGAGGCTCACCACGGAGGAGCTTCTGTGGCGAGCTGAGCTGTAGAAACTCTCTTCTGAAGCCATGGGGAGCCTTGCAGCTTTGACCATGATGGAGTGAGACAATTAGATCTGCATTTTAAGGAGCACACTAAGTAGTGTGCCGTGAGTCAAGTAGTGACTGCCATGAGCAGAGCCGGGCCTAACCTGCCTTATTCGTTGCTCCACGGCAATGGGCAATGTACCCTCCCACGCTATGCCGTGGTGTCCCAGAGAGGAAAGTGCTGGTTAGTATGCCCTCCCTGAACCGAGGGACCTGCTCCACGCTGGGCTGATCTATCTATCATTTATCTATCTACATATCTATCTACCTACATATCTATCTACATATCTATCTACCTACATATCTATCTATCCATCTATCTATCTATCTATCTATCTATCTACATATCTATCCATCTATCTATCATCTATCTACGTATCTACATATCTATCCATCTATCTATCTATCATCTATCTATCTCTCTGTCATCTATCTATCTACCTACATATCTATCCATCCGTCTGTCTGTCTGTCTGTCTGTCTATCTATCTATCATCCAGTGACTCTCATGTAAGGCTGGCCTCAAGCTTAAAATGTAGCTAAGATTGACCTTGAATTTCTGGTCTTCCTGCCTCCACCTCTCAAGCACCAGGATGATAGATGTGCACCCCCATTCCTGGTTTATGTGGTGCTGGCGATGGAATGGAGGGCTCTGTGCACACTGAGCAAACACTCTATCAATCAGGCTGCACCCTGAGTCCCTCCTTTTATAGACTTTAAGCCACAATGAAAGCCAGTAGAGACTGTTTGAGATGACTCATCCCAGAACAGGGATGACTGGAGGGCTGAGCCGGGTGAGAACTGTCAACCAAATTGATTAGCCTGTGTCCCCAGAGGAAGTCAGGCTTCCCACACACTGGATGACCTCC